AATGACTCTTTATATGTTTCATGTATTAAAGGGATCATTACGTTTGCTGGATTTCGAGGAATTTAGCTGGAAATGAAATTCTACTCCATTCAAATTCCATGTTTGGTTGCAAATGAGTGTGGAATTGAATTTGGTTGGAATTCACAAAATCCTTTAACTAATGGATCAACATCCCATCTTAAAATCATGACATTCGTTTCCCAACATTTCCTCCTTGTTAAAAAAACTAAATTACCCTTGAGCTCCTTGAATTTTACAAGTAAATGGCTCTTGGCTTCTCCATCTTCTTGCTCATGAAAGCTCAAGAATTCCATTTTATCTACTGCCAACCAAACATGTGGCAGAATTCAATTTTTTCATATTCTAAATTTCTAATTCCTTTGACAGATTCCAATTCCTTACAAAACATTCTGCAAACCAAATGCCCCTAAGAGGAACTTAAGGATTCCCTGAAAAGAGTTTAGGGACAAAATGGAAATGCAGGAAAGAAAGTGAAGTCCAGGAAGTGAGAAATTTTTGGATAACTGCACTGAAATCTGATAGACCACATAGTGAAGAACTTGGCACTACTTTAACTAACAGAAGCTTATGAAGAAGTTGATAACCAGTGTGATATTTCAGGTAATTGTGTGGATGGATCTGATTCTGATCTGGAAGAGGGAGGTGCTTTGTGGGATGTGTTTAGGAGGGAAGATACTCCTAAACTGCAGGAATATCTCAAAAAACACTTCAAAGAGTTCAGACATGCCTTTTGTCTTCCACTGCAGCAGGTATTAACCCTTACTTTTAGTTGAAATTAATGTATCTGTAGCATCACAATCCTTCATAGTAATTTTTTAAATTGTTCAAATGTATTTTTTTTTTTTTGGCTCCAGGTTATCCACCCAATTCATGATCAAACATTTTACTTAACCATGGACCATAAAAAGAAGCTCAAAGAAGAATTTGGTTAGTGTATATCAACTTTCACTAATATTAAATTTTATGATTGTGCTTAATGTTTTGGTTGTCATCAGGAATTGAAGCATGGAGTTTTGTGCAGAAGCTTGGGGATGCTGTATTTATTCCTGCTGGTTGTGCCCATCAAGTTAGAAATTTGAAGGTTAGTAACTTAACTACTAGTTCTTAGATTCTTTTTCACTGCATCAAATTGCTCATTCTAGAATTAATTGAGATCAATATTTGATGTTGTGGGAGCACTTGCAGAGTTGCAGTTCACTAAGCTGTTGACATATGTATAATATTTTGATATCCTTTCTTGAAAAAATGGGCACCTCCTTGTTGAGACTTGAGACTGCATGTGAATTGTGGTTTGGAACTAACTTTAAACCATGGTATGTAAATTTTGGAAGGTTTTAGGGGGGAGCTTCTGATTTGTCTTTGAGGAGGTAAACGTAAACCCAACGTAGACATCAATATGATCTTCAATAAAGGTGCTGAATCCATTAGAGCCCAAGGCTCGTTTCCTTACTGCTATGTCCCAGATGCCACTATGGATTAAGGCAAAATGTCTATATATAGATCAAGGAGACATATGGTTTAAGTGTACATGGAACACAACTGTGTTTTGATAATTGATATATTTCATGCATGGACTTTCATGGGTGTTAGTAAACAAGTTTGCTTCCTTGCTCATATTTGTTAATATGAGGATTATAAGGTGATAGAATTACCTGATCACCTTAAATTTGGGAGACCTGATATTGATTGAAAGATAGTATTGATTTCCATCTTTTTATCGAGCTCGTCTCTGTATTTATGTGTTATAATAAGTGAATAAATATGTTTTCTTTTTGTGCAGTCATGTATAAAAGTTGCATTGGAATTTGTTTCTCCTGAAAATGTTGCTGAATGCATCCGCTTGACAGAAGATTTCCGTCTTCTTCCCCAAAATCATAAGGCAAAAGAAGATAAGTTAGAGGTAAAAATCCGTTCTATATATCTTGCAAATATATCCACTTCTAAAGTTGCACTGTTGTAGAAATGAGGGTTATTGTATCAATGTGACCACTGTTATATATACTTACAACTTTCCCTCTTACCAAGTAGCAGTCCATTTTTCTGTATTGTTTTGTCTTCTGAAAACAGCTCTCTGAAGTTTAAATTAAACCAAACTGAATAAGGTTTCTAAACTACTATTATATATTGGTTTTCACCCATTTCTTGTCAGAATACATGCTTTTCTGACTTTATTTTATGCATGGTTTCATTTAGTCCAAGTTATTTCGTAGTTCTTAAACAACATAAGAGGCTATTATGTAGCAGTTTCATTAATTACAAATCATTTGCTACAGATTATCATGGTGCAATGGCTTATTTTGCTGCTCATTTACAGGTGAAGAAAATGGCACTCTATGCAGTGGAGGCAGCTGTGAAGGACTTGAAATATTTAGTTGCTGAGTAAGTTCAAACCAATTCTTAGACTATTTTTATCTGCAATTTGGTCCAATCCGTCACAAAGAAAACAAAAAGGAAATTAATTGGAAAAAAACGAAAATGAACAAGTCAGTCATGCAACCATGGGTTGTCCATTTTTTCTTTATTTTACTTTCCACGTGGCATTTTCTTATGGTTGGTTTATATTAGTTTTTTTTATAGAACGTATTTAGTTATATAATCTAGACTTTATTTTTTGTTAAAAACATAAGCCTAAAATTCACTTTTTTTTTTCTCTGTAAATAGAGCTTAGTATTTCTATACTTTAGTATACTTTCCCAACATTTGTTTTCTATTATCCAACTTTTTCAGGAACTCTCAACATCTTGAAGACTCCCACGATTATCCAATCCCCCACTACAATGAAAGTTGTCAGTTTATTTCAAATCTTGATAAAGTTCCAATCATTGAAGATCTCCAAACCTCGCAAAACACTGAAAAAGGTGCTACAGGCGAAGTGGGATTACAGATAGATTGTGAAAATCTCCAAACCTCACAAAAAACTGAAAATGTTGCTAGAGGCGAAGTGGGACTGCAAATAGATTCTGAAAATATTCAAACCTCGCAAAATACCGAAAATGTTGCTACACGCAAAGTGGGATTACAAATAAATTGTAAAAATCTCCAGACCTCGCCCAATATTGAAAACGATTTTAGAGGCGATGTGGGAATACAGATAGATTCGGAAAATGTCCAAACCTCACAACATGCTGAAAACTGTGGTAGAGGCAAAGTGGGATTACAGATGGATCCTGAGACAACACCTTCCTGTTCAGAACATGAAGTAGCTGATGAAGAAAGTGGTGGCAACACGGAAAGATCAAGGAATAGTGAAGAAGGAGATCAATCTGTCCACTCCACCCCAGAAGTGCCAAATAGTAGAGACACATCTAAGATAAATGGAGAAGGTAAAGTATCACAACCTTCTTGCAACCCTAATGAGTTTGTTGCAGAACTTCAAGTTCAAGCAATGGGGGTTACTAGATCAAGGACTAGTAAAGAAAGGGACTATTCTCTCCACTCCAACCCAGAAACACCAAATACTGGTGGTTCAACGGTTCACCCTCCTACAAGTGGAGATGCATCTAAAATGAAAGGAGAAGCTAAGGTCTCACAGTCTTCTTCATCTCCTAATGAAATTGTTGCAGAACTTCGTGCAATGAGGGTTACCAGAGACAATGAAGTCGAACTCATGAGAAAAAGACTCGAATTGGAGCAAAAAAGGGAAGAGAGGAAGAATAAGAAGATGTATCACATGCATCTCAATGCATTGTTGATGAAAGACCACTTATCGCCTGAAGATGAAGACATTAAACGCCGTCTCTTGGCGATGTTGTGTGGATAGTGATTGCAGTACTGTATATTGAACTCATCATGCATGAGCATCTTTTGTACCTATAAGGATGTACCCTGGTTTATTTCTTTTTAATTCTCTACTTATTTTACTCAATGATCATGTTTATTGAACTCATCATAAATCTTACTGCACCATTTTTGAACTCCATACAGATTCTAATTAAGAGCATAGCTTTTTGTCGTTTTATTTGCTCATTTATAAAAAAAAAAAAAAAAAAAAAAAAAAAACTGAAACCTATTTATAGTTCTCCATTCTGTCTATTTAGCCAGTGACATCTAAAAAGAAAGCGGGTGCTGGAAAAAAATGGGCAAAATGAACCTGTTTTCAAGTATTTGTATACGGGATCTTAAAAATAACCCTCCTAATCTTATAAATATCCCAATCTGTCATCTCGTTCATATCAAGTTATAATCCTTATGTTTTTTTTTTTTTTTTTTTAATCTATTTATCTTTTGTGTAACCCGGTTTCCAATAGGATAAATATATGTTTTTGGTCCAAAGTAAACTACGAGAAACAGAAACAGGGGTTTTAGAGACGGACGAATCCGTCGCTATTCTATCGCTAAATGTTGTTTGCGATGGATCAGCGACAGATTCACTCCATAGGTAATTAAAATGTGGCTAATGACTTAGCGAGGGTTTTAGCAACGGATTAGTTTTTCATTGCGACAAATTTAGCGACAGAGTATCCGTCGCTAAATGTTAGTCAATACATTTACCCAGGATGTTAGCGACAAAATTTGTTAAAGACGTTTTGTCGCTGTTCTGTCGAAAATTTCCATGATCAGGTTTGTTTGTTTGTTTGTTTGTTTTTTTTTTTTTTTTCGTAGCTAATCCCTTGCAAAGTTCATATACTAATTTTTTTTTTCCATCACTGATCTATCGCAACCTTTAGACATGATTTTTCCCCATAGCTAATCCCTCAAAAAATTCTTAAATTTTGTTCTTTTTCCGTCGTTGCTCCGTCACAAACTTTAGACATAATTTTTTTTTTCCGTAGCTAATCCCTCACTAAATTCATGCATTATTATTATTATTATTATTATTATTATTATTATTATTATTTTTTGTCACTATTCCGTTGCGAACTTGTAATATCATTTTTTTATTATGACTCTAAAAGGAAAAAAAAAATACTACAATCATCAAATTATTATACTAATAAACATCAAATAATGATACAGCCAAAAGCAGCAAAGAGAGCAGTAACAAATCCGATTGTTATAACATATATGAAATCGTGATGATCGTTTTAGATGTAAATAAACATGAAATTACAATTACACCCTTCATAAAGAAATGTTGTATGCTTACACTGCTCCATTCATTCCATAACTAGCAAAAGCAGAGGCGATAGGGTATCAGGGTCTAATTGGGAACATGGCACCAAACCAATCACAACAGTAGATACATCTCTCTGAGGATTCTTCACCTGTAATATAAACAATATGAAAATTACAATTATACCCTTCAGAAAGAACAATCACAATCACTAGTGTTACCTCTTCTGCTGTGCTGGTTATTGCATCAAAACCATCATATGAGAAAAAAACGGTTGCAGATCCAGCAAGTACTCTATTAGCTCCATACGGGAAATACCTGAAAATCAGAAACATGTTTCATGTTGCCAAGGGTAAAATGGTAATTTAACACATGTGAAAAAAAATGAACATATTACCCGCCTGGAACTTTATATCCACCCATTGAGTCTTGAAACCTATGTATCCACCAACTACTATGATGAAAAGCAAGGCTACAATTGTTTATTGTTGTGATTATGCCTTGAGCCAATAAACTGTAAAAGTATTCATTTTATTAGTATAATAAAATTTAAGAATAAGTCTTTAACTGAAAGGACTAAAATACATCTTTGATTCCAGTGCAAAGTAGTCTAGTTATAATGAAGACTAAAACAGCAGCACAAGGATCAACTACAATTCCAAGAATGGTGGGTCGAGTTAAGAAAGCAGAAAGCTTATCTGGACCTCCAAAAAACACAGCCTATTTAAAATTGAAATTATAATTCGAAAAAGAAAAAGAAAATTGAAATTATAAATTAGGTTGAAAGAAAAAGGAGATGAAGTGCACCATATTTGTGGATATGCCACGGGCTACTGCTGCTCCACCAAGTGTGTATTCAAGAATCAGGGACCAACCAATCAACCAAGCAACACTGGAAGTTGAAGGGGATAGAATATTGATTTGCAGAAAGAAAATATGAATATATGAATAAGAGAATTGTTAGGAGAAATTACGAGATTACCCTTCTCCAACATAAAAGTAAGAATAGTGATATGCACTCCCTGCAGATGGGCAACGACATGCGAGTTATGCATAACATAATGCTGAAAGTCCAGCTGCTATTCCGGCTATGAGGAATGATATTGTGATTGCAGGCCCTGTTTGCTCTTTAGCAACTGTTCCGTAAACTCCAGCTCCAATTGTTTCTCCAAATCCTGATAAAATTGGTTTGACTTTTAGGTTAATTCATACCAATACATCCCAACATCATACATACATACATACATACATACATACATACATACATACATATATAACAAATTCATTGCATAACAACACTAAGAGAAACAACGTGTATTAATCAACAAAACATATATATATATATATATATATATATATATATATATATATATATATATATTTATCGATTTTACTTAATGTAAATCCGAGAAGTGATCAGTAACAGATAGCTGATGAAAGGTGAAAAGCGATGATACGTAAGTTGATTGAAAGTTTACCAATGACGATGAGATCAAAAATAGAGAGACATTTGGCCAACTGAAAACCCTCAGCTCTAGCGACACTTGCATCAACCAAGGGAATAAAAAATAATTATATTTGTCTTTCTAAAATCATTAACGGAGGTTATTATCATGTTTCCTACAGAATCATTAGAGCATGTTTATCATAATCGTTCAATGGTTACATTACATTGATCAAAAGATGCATTGGCCAAAAAAGAAGAGGAAATAAGACAAAATTACATACCTGCCTTGGAGAACTACTCAAGGGATGTCGTACTTATATATTGACACATTGATCCGTCAAGAAATGAATAATGATTAAAAAAAATTAATAAAAGGAAACAACTACAAAATATATTTCACATGGAGATATGAAGATATGGAGATATTTTATAACACTAAATATATTTCCATGTAAAGTGTTACTTTTGCTTTAATTTTACTTTTAAATTGTGATCAAGAGAAAACATTTTTCACAGATGTCAACTACTTAATTTCACTCTAGAACACAGACTATAATTTTCAACTTGCTACAAAAATAGAGCTTCATCACTTGCTAAAACCCATTTTATATGCAATCATAATCATGGTTTTATGCTTTTTTGTATGTTATTTGAATTTAGATATAAGATGGTGTTTACGTAAGTCGCACATTGACACCATTGTATATCTCATAAGGCATTTCAACTGAAGAAAATTCAAAAGGAAATGTTTTCCTTTCAGATATTTCACCAGGAACATCCAGTTCACGAACTACATAACAAAGGGTAACATAGTAAATTACGGATGAATAATGATGTTGAATTATCAATTATCAATGAAAAAACAACATAAAACTTGTCATTTCATCAATAACATGTAAAAGTTAGCCTCCAAACAGATGGACTTACCAACAGAGGTAAAGTCATAGAAGTTGCCTCTGTCAAAATAACTTTGTACAAACAGAAATAAAATACTAAAATATTATTAATATTGATTTGCATGACAATTTCTCCTATAAATAAGTAGAAAACTCACCAATTTGACCAAGGAGTTCTATTTTAATGCCATTATGTTCGACCTTCTTCCCTTGCATTGGGTCTACAGATATCTGCAAAAAGGGTAAATAAGTAAATTCAACTTGTTTCGATCACTAGCTAGCAAGTAAAAGGTTTATTATCCAACAAAATTACAAAACCATCAATAAATACCACTCCAGCAATGCTTTCTTGACTTTGGAAAAGAGGCACCATTGATATCTGACCATTTTCCTTCTTCAAAGGAACCTGATGATGAATTAGTAAAGAAAAATTATTATAGCAGGCCAAAGTATTGATATACTAAACAATAATCATCTATCTAGAATGAGAACAATAAGAATAGCTTACTTGTTTGTGAGTTTTCACATCATTAAATGCAACTGAAATATTACAAGAAGGCTTGAAAGCTCCTATATTAGTAAGTGGAGTGAATTAAATTGCTATTTCCTGCAATGTTCTTGTAATATGCATTAACCTTACCAAGTATCCCTTGAAAGTTGCTTGTGCCTTAGTAGCAGCCTGTTCTAGCCTGATTAAATCATCATCATTTGCAACATTTAGTAAGTTGGCACTGGAGCTCTTCTTTAACTGTGATTATTCTTCATTTATGTTGCTGATGTGGCACACTGGTGTTGACATAACAGTAGAATCAACAGCAAGATCATTTGATTGTGTGTTGAGGGTAATGGAGGTCTTTTTGTCTAAACTAGCATCCTTCAAGAATAATAAGATACCATCATGTATATGTGTTTTACTAGTAACAGGTGTAACTGTAAACTGTAAATTAACACTTTTACATACTTTTGAGATATTAGATTTTGATGACTCTTCCCAAAAAGAACAATCTTCATCCACTTTCCAGGAGATTAGATTCCTTGAGTAATTCACGAGATTCATTGAATAATTTTCAACACATTGCTACTTGTTTTCAATTAGGTGCATGCTATTAACTTCATCAATTGTCTAGATTATCAATTCATAGCTAATCCTATCAATCTAACACAACACAATACAATGACCTAAACTTATGCATATCATCCATAAAGTTCAAAATTACCTCAAGGTTAATCAAATTTGTATAAACAAGAGCTTGAATGGGATGACCACCACTGTGATCCAGTTACCGCCAACAGAACCACCACCGCTATCTTATCGGGTGATCGACGTCGTTGTTGCCACTAAGCAGTTGTACGGAGTAGTTGTGAATCAACAGATCGAAAGGCATTAGCATGGAAGTAAGCTGTGAGTCAACGAGGAAGGGAGTCAAACCGAGAAGAAAGCCAACGAGGATGTGATTTCAGATCAGGTTTTCCTTTGAGAGGCTTCAAAGAGGGATGATACAGGTTGACTGTGGTGGAGGCGATTTCCTGGACAGAGTAGAGATTTGACGGTCATATAGGGATTTGGTAGGAAATCGTCACTTTGGGAATAAATCGGTGGGAATGAAAATAAAACGAGGGAACGAGTAAAGGAAGAAAAGCCAGGAATGAAAAAAGGAAGGCGTAGATTTTCTGCAAGGGTTTAGCGAGGGCCAGGAAAAAAAGCCACTAATTTTTTGCAATCCGTCGTTATTCCCTCGTTGAGGTTTTACTTTTCGACGGTTCAACAAGGGACTGTTTTTTTGTCGATAAAATCATACCAATCTGTCGTTGATCCCTTGGTAATACATCTCTAAACTTCTATAATTATTTGGATTGAAATATTTATGCATTCCATCAGTGATTCCTCAGTAAACCATCGCTAATTAGCTACAGATAAAATCTGTCGTTGATTCCATCGCTGTAGGTTAGGTTTCTAGTAGTGAGGCTAATAATAAGATATTCATAAAAAACATTTCTTCCATTGTTTCATAAAACATTGTGATTGAGAGTAAATAGAAGACTTTATATTTTCAAAGTAGTTTTAAATATGTAGCACTGAGTTATTCTTTGATGATCCTGAAAATATTAATAATTGGTAAGCGAAAGTGTACAGTGAGTCTACACAATGCTAACCCATTATATTAATCATATACCTCCAAATAGCGCATAGGATCATATAATCATATAATACAAGGATTATAACACATATGATTGGCACTAATGCTGACACTTTATTTGAAAATTATGATATATTGTTAAAAAAAATATAAAATTTCGTATAATTTATCAAGGAAAATAACAATATAAGGGATTGATGGAGAGTGGTGCATTTAGTAAAACAAATATTAGCAAAATATAAAATATTGATTTGATTTACTAGAGAAAAATAAAATTTTGAGTTGATTGATATAAAAGGATGCACAAATAATTTTTGAATTCCGCAACTACTTAGAATATCCATAATATAAGCTATTTCAAAAGTTTTTCAAACAAAAAAGCATTTTATAATTGAAAAATACTATTTGGAGGAGGTTTTCAAACCTAAACTTTTTTAAAGAACTGTTAATTAATAAGATTTTGCCATTAAAGAATTCACAATATGAGTTTTTTGAAAAAAATTTCAAAAGTTTTTCTACACCAAAAAGTTCTTAAAAAAATATTATATCATTTTTTTTTTCAAAAACCTTCTTAAGTAACAAGCTTTTGAAATAAGTTTTTTCAATGATTTTGGGGGTCACAATTGCAATTAGATAACTTATACAAATACCTATCAAAAATATTTTGTCATATATATATATATATATATATATATATATATATATATATATATATATATATATATATATATATATATATATATATATATATATATATATATATAGGTTCAGGTTCATTTGAGACCATTCTAATTTTGTGAGACCGTGAGACCAAATCTAAAAATAATTTTAAAATGCAAAATAAATGGAAAAATCCAAAAATTCTTTTTTTAAATATTATTTTCGAAAATTGAGTTAACTAAAAAAATAAAAATGAAAATAAAAAATAAAAAAAAATCCCGTTTTTTTTTTTAAAAAATACGTGAAATATTCTAAATAGAATATTACACTGTATATATTCTAAAAATAATTTTAAAATGCAAAATAAATGGAAAAATCAAAAAATTCTTTTTTTAAATATTATTTTCGGAACTTGAATTAACTAAAAAAAATGAAAAATAAATAAAAAAATAAATAATAATAAATAAAAAAATACGTCTCACGGTCTCACAAAATTAGGCCGTCTCACATGAACATAACCCTATATATATATATATATATATATATATATATATATATATATATATATATATATATATATATATATATAAGGAAATGATCAAATGAGAACACCTAAAAGGTTGAGAACGCGAGAACAAGTATATGGATTTGTGATTCCATGTATTCATGTGTGGATAAATGATAAATTTTTACTCACAATCAACATGAATATGTTTTTTCTATTCGGTTGAAATTAAAGGTGTGAAAATTTATTATTCCTCCACAAATGAATACATGGAATCATAAATAAATATACTTTGTTCTCGCATTCTCAACCTTTTTGGTGTTCTCGTGAAAATTTTACATTAGTCGTTGATCCGCGCTAAGCGACGGATGTGAATAATTTCTTTCAGAAATTAGTTTCTTTTCCGTCATATAATGATTTGTTTCAATTCAGTAGTTTGTTTTCTTTTCGACAAAAAAATGTATTATTTGTGTTTGTTTGATCCATTGTGTCGTAAATAGATCATTTCTAATTCATGATAACATTTTCTATTATTGATGTAATCATGTCCCCCAATTAATAGTGCCAAACCACAATTAGTTTTCAGACGATGATTAATTTTCTTTTGGCACCACGTAAATATGTTTCATACAATTAATAATTTATTTATAATAAACAGTTTTTTTTTGTCGACGATTAGCTTCATTTCAGTTGTGGAAAACATATTTCTTTCCTAAAATTGTTTTTTTTTTACAATTAGGGTTTATGGTAAGTGCATGATTGGTTAGGTGAATAATGGATACTTAAATTTAACTGTTTTTGTAAGTAGTTTTTTTTTCTTAAATTGCCGTTTGTTAGTATCTCTAAGACTTTTGTATCGAGATATAATTAACAAAAATGACCAAGGATGTTTGAAATTATTTGAAATTATGATTAGAAACCAATGTTATTATTATTATTATTATTTTTAAATTTTCATAGCATAATCCGTCATTTTTAAAAATAAATCCATATTTATTTTAATTATTAATGTTTAACTGGTGGTTAAATAGTGGCAAAGAACGGTTTTAGTTAGCACTTTAGTATCCGTGAATACTTTCTTTTTAGAAATTAATTATCTTTCGATGAGCGTTTGTTAGTTTTTTTGGGCGGGTAATTATCGTACGAAAAATGCTTTCATTTAAAGTATGTCATAGTTTTTGGTTATAAATAAAAGTATGTTGGATTAAAGATAAAGCATATTATTATTTTAGGTTAAAAAGAATTTCATTACATATGTCTATTATATATATATATATATATATATATATATATATATATATATATATATATATATATATATATATATATAGAGAGAGAGAGAGAGAGAAAGAGAGAGAGATAGAGATAGGTTCAGGTGTTTATTCTATGTATTGTGTTATTGCATGCACAAATATGGACTTATCATTCTTAAAGAGTATTAATGTAATATTACTATATAATATATATTTTCCCAGTTAATTAAGGTGTGATTGATATCAATCAAATTCCTAAATATAAGGCTATTAAATATGGATCTTATCAACAAAAATAACTTATATATATATATATATATATATATATATATATATATATATATATATATATATATATTCATATGCATCGTATACGTTTCAGTCGATTACAGATTCATCTTTCATCATCTTCATATCATTAGTCTTATTCTAATATTTTGTTATTGGAGGTATATTGTTCATTCACTTTTTTATCTGATATTGTTGAATAATCGTTTATCATATGTAGATAAATTTTGTTATATTCATTGTTCAGAATAATCTTTCATTAGCTTCATATCATTTTTTTTTTCAGAACCAAGATAATATTGATAACAACAAGAAGGACTTTTCTGATAACAATGATCGGAATATCAATCAATGTCAAGTGCACCAAGATCGGAAGAAAATAAGAAGATGTGAGATTTGTTTTGGTGTTGGTCATGATAGGAGGAACTGTCCTCAAGTAAGGGTCAAGAGAGAGTAGATATTTACTTGGTCAACATATTTTAAGAATTGAATAATGTTTTCAATTTAGTCTTTTCGGAGTTTATGGAGTTTTATTTTAGTATAATAATTATATGGATTCATGAATTATAGGATTTCTCCTTGTAACTTTATGTTTTCATTCAATTAAAATTAATAATTTTCATTTTGAGTTTGATTAAAATTCTAGAATGTAATTGTTGATTACAAAGATATAGAATAAACAAATAGACAATTATTAGTATTTGTTTAGAATAATTGTTCCCAAATTCGTTTTTACTTAATGATTAATCAAAGATTCCGTTAGAATTTTTATTATCAAATTCTTATAGAATGTTAAGTTGTATTACAATATACTAATCAAACACGAGGAAAAAAAATGTATTGTTATTCTTATTTAATACATTCTTACAGAATAAGAATGTGGTATAATGATACCGTATTATAAGCATGTATCTGTTCAGTTGTACGACAATATACAAAACAAATATGTGAGAAATAATTTTTTTGTAAATGTTGTTTCAAATATTTTCACAGAACAATATTCTTGTAATAAATATTCATTTGTTAGTATATGCATTTATGCCATAATAAATCATTAGTCGTTTGTAAATTCATTAATTTTTTTTTTTTTAAGTTTGCTGAATAAATTTATTAAATATCTAATTTAAAACGCAGGATGTGTCGAAGTATTATCTATGGAATTTATTATATTAGGAATGTGATATGTCAAATATTTAAGAATATCATGATTAAGAATACGATTTTCTATTGATTCTTATCTTTACAATGTTTATAAAAATATACAAAAACTAAATAATTGTTAACAATGAATGCACGTATCACGCCTTTTTAGTTACATATCAATTACACGGTTTCTCATTTGTTAATATACTAGATTATGACCCGCGTTAAACGCGAGAAACATAAATTAAATACATATCACATTAATAGGTAGCATTGTCTTAGGTGAAATTTTAATAAAAAAATGTTAGTTAAATTCATTTTTAAAGTTTTTGAACCAAACTTATTAAATAAAAATATTTAATATTTATATTAGAACAATTTGGTTTTTTAATACAATATTTTTTAACATAAATGATCCACATGATCTTTGTTTTATCACAACATGATGCAACTCTTTGATTAAAACATGTTGCTTAGTAGTTTTATCAATTGACTTTTTTTGGTGTATCAACTCCCATGAAGGCTCATATGGCTATTCTCATATTAGCCCTGTAAAACCCAAAAGCAACAATAAGTTGTTATATGTACCAACAACGTTAAATTCCACAAAGAAATTCGATAAACATTACAATTAAAGTGCATTGTCATAACTATAAACATCAAATTCAGACATTGTAATTTGGTCAATTTCTAAAGTATTTTTTCTTTATAAGAATTAAAATATGATTTTTTTAGGCTACATCCAATCACATATACATATCTTTCGATCGTAGAAATTATTACAAAAAAACATGTTAAGAACAAAAATATAAATCATAATTTGTCAAAGGTTAACACTAATAAATAATAATGAACTTTCACAAATCTTGCATTTTGGTCACTGAATCCAACTAACAAATGAAAATCAGTTTAGATGATTGATTCAAGAAGTGTATCCATGACTTTTTGTAGTTGATTTTAGGGACATGCTAAGACC